ATTCTTTCAATTAAATGTATCATATCAAAAACTGAAACACAGCGCAAATCCCAGCAAACCTCAGAAAATTGTACTGATTAAAAGTTATTTGAGCCAATTGATTATCCCAAAGGCGCTCTGACATTAGAAATACCATTACGTCAAGAGAAACTTTGTTTGCTCTCCCTTTCAAAGTTTTTATTTTCATCGTAAGTTGTTAGTCAAAACACTTAGTTATCTTGATCATATTGGGTAAGCATTCTGCTTCGAATATTCATCCATCGCAGACCGGAAAGGGAAGTAGTGGCAATCAGTTGTGAAACATCACCCGATCCAATATGGCGGCAAGGACAAATATCCATTTTCCAAATAGGCGATATCTAATTCAGTTTGCTTATTTCAGAGATCATTTGCAATAGTTTGATGAAAAATTTGTTGTAAACTTCTGAGTTAAGATCTTCTTTAAACGCGACCTGTTAATTCGTTATGACCTCATTCTAGCTGAGTCAATACTGGGAAGCACTGAAATGTCCATACTCGTTTTGCTTACAACACAATTTCTCGACGAGTAAAAAAAAAAATAGGCAAGAGAGCCAATTTGAGGGACAACTTCAATCATGATATTCCTCTCTACGGCGGGAGATTAATAAAACTGATACTTATATGTTGGAAAAATATTGTCGTTATCATATTCTAACAAATACCGTAGTAAGACCTAACAGTATTTTAATTAACTGGAGGCTAAATGTTGAATACACCAAATGTCGTTATTCGCGACATTATCTAGTACTTCTTAGTTAAGGCGCTTACGTTTTAGACATTGGTTTATCATTATAGATAGATAAGAGATATTGCAAGTCTTTTTATGGATCTCGTGATTAGGCCTGAGTTAATCGATTTTGATCCTAGTTGAAAATATTACTTTGTTTTTAGCGAATTATTTATAAAACTAACCTCCGTTAAGTAACCTGACAAGTAACCCGTTCCATGATACTAAAAATTTCCCCCTCTTATCAAATTCTGTTGTTTACATAAGCTTGCATGATATGATATAATTTCCAGACTGAGACAAAATGATTAAAAATTCCCATTCCCTTACTTATTCAGCCTAAGAAAAAACTGAGAGATTTGTAATACAGATACAAAAAGTAACCTGAAGATATCATAATTTGCAAAGCGAAGAAGATTAAGAATTGTTTTTTTACGTAGAGACTGTGAGGGTATATGTCAGGCAGGGCGCTTACTGCTCGTTGAATAGACTTCAGTACTTCATTCAAGTGCTGATATCTTGCAGGGCTGAATAGGCAAATGAATTCAACACCATGGAAGAAAGAACTCTTGGTTTATCGCGATCTGGAAGGATTAAGACATTGTGTTTTTGTGTTGAACAATCCTTAGGTTAGCTTAATTGGCTGGCATCCTGAAGAAGACATTTGGAAAAGGGAGAGGAAAACTCCCTTGCTCCCAGCAGATGGTGAATGAACGGACACCGGAATAAATTTCCCAGGTTGCGGGTTGCCTAATAGAATTCGCACCTAACAAGACCGTGGATATCCAATATCCAGTATTCCACAGGCCGAGGGCTCATACAATATAAATTTTTACATTTTGAAAAGGAAAGAAAAGCTTCCCCCCACCCCCAGTGAGCACAAGAGTTAGTGAACCAAATTTCTTGTTTATTGCTTTTTTAACCAAAGTTTCATCGATGAAAAGCTCCTGATTATTAGAACTAACTCTCTCGGAGTTTTACGTTCGACTTAGCGTCTAAAATTTTACTTTATCATATCCGTGTTTTACTGCAGAGATTGGATTGTCATGCTTGAAGCTAAGTTTCTTGTTGGTCTTCATATTCGGATAGTACCCATGAACCTGTTGAAATAAAAGGAACAAATAGTAATGAAAGACAAATTTTGATAATCAAAAGCACATTATCGAGTCCTTGGGTATACAGTGCATGTACACCCAATTATTCATTATCATAACACAAACTAGTGAATCACATGAAGCGCAAGTGCTGTCAAATTCATTCCATGATTAAGGCATCTGGTTCAGAAAAACATCCAGTTCTGTGAAATGGCATTCTTGTTAATTGGTTGATTTTGTAATTGTTTTCCTCTGTGGTTATGTTCCATAGTCTAAAGACCTTGACCGGCCATAGCTTCAATACAGGTGGACGTATTTTAGAGATATAACTATGTGCCTTTTAAAAACAATTCCTCTTTAAACAAAATATCAAGATTTGCCGAACACCATTTTTTTTTCTTTTCTACAAGTAAACGCCAACGGGAGATTATTGGTAATTTATGGATTTCCGATTTTTACGGCTAAAAAAGGTCTTATTTTGTATATTTTTTTTGTGTGTTGATGTAGCATGCAGTCCAATACTAGGAAGCGTGACACGTCTGACGAAGTGCTTCAAATGAAGCAGTTATGACATAGGAATCTTTTTTCTAGGAAATGAACTTTAGTAATTATCTTTACTGAAGTGGTTACCTTTGTCAATACTCCAGCTTGGATTACAAAACCCACCTGCTATCGATTGTTTCTCTTCGGAAACTATTCACCGTGATATCAAACTGAAACACAATACAGATCTTTTGCAGCCAGACTAATATCAGAGGGAATTGTTCAAAATCGCGCAAAACAAGGAAGTATTTGACATTGCAAAAATAAGATAGTTTTCGTTCCCGGCTGTCGGAAAATGTTCCACTATTCTTTCGAACGATTTCTGAAAATGTCCAAGCCTTGGCTGTTGTTTATTCTTATTCGAATATTCTATGGGTATTTAGCCAGCCATAGATGCGTTAGTTTATATCTATTACGAATGTCTCCTGAGTGTGAAGGTCAAATTACTAAACCCAAAATATATATATATCTTATTAGACGTTTTGTTGTGTAGTATTGCTTAGTATTTTTACGGATTGTGCCGTATTTTGACGAGCCCGTAGGGCTCGTCAAAATACAAAAACGAATAAAAATACTTAGCGATACTACACAAAAAAACTTCCAATAAGAGATTTCAAGTTATTATCCAACACGCCAAATTGTTATTTAAGCGCGGATGAATTTCGCGGATATTTCTGGAGTATAAATATCACGTGATATTTGTACTCGTATCGCGCGTTATTTGTCCTCCACAAAGTACAGTTGGATAATAATTGCTGATATTTGATTTAGCTGGACAGAATTTGACAAAAATACCTCAGCATAAGCGAAACTTTCTTGATATCAAAGATTGACACCACAGAGTCGAAACTATATGAAAACAATCCAGTATATTAAAATGAAAATATATGAATAGACCGTGGAAGTGTTGCATATTCCTTAGTTGAAATAGAGCATTTATTTCAAATTAAAATACCCGGTCGAGAAGGGGTTTTCAGTTGAATATCAATAGATAGCGTAGACCTCTGGAACTTTCGCTGACTTAACTAATAAACTTGCCATACTCCACATGATAAAAAAGACAGTTCATAGCTCTCTGGAGATTTGTCTCCCAACCATAATGAAATATTTTTGGGTGAACTAATAAAACTTACCAGTTATATCCTAAAGTAACCCGTTCCATGAGACCAAAATTGTCCGCCCCTTTATCAAATACTGTTTATTACAGACGCTTGCGCGTTATGATTTCTAGCAAGACTGTTACAATATTGTTACCTTATATCATTTATTCATCCCTAACAATGCCGACCTGTCAGTAAAAAAAAAAACAACTCCTGGCATGATAATGAATTAACTTTTTGGAATATCCCATTATTACGTCACGTCCAAAATAGTTAATGTTATTCATATTCTCAGGCGTTCGTTACATCAATCAAAACACTTCTTGAAACTCTTGATTATATCGCGGACGGAGATAAACTCCTTCAACTCTTCTTTAATCTTAGCGTAAAGGAGATGGACTTTAATCGACATGGTATTTCATTGACCGCGAACTCAACATTTTCAAGAATACATGACATAAGAGCTACGTGAGTGTTGAAACTAATAATCAAAACCACTGGTGTCCTGGTGAAAACTCGCTTCTCGAAAGTGCTCATAATGGCCCGGCATTAAAGAGTGACTGTAGTGTAGTGAATTTACCTTTTTCTATTATTATGAGAGTCCTTATAAATTTGGTTGTCTTAGCAGTTCATCCACGATATGCATTATGCTCATTACGATTGTATTCCTGTTTTGGTCATATATCTGATATGAACAATTTTCAAGGGTAAGTTGAAAAATCTGCATCACTTAAGTATTCTGTCGTTATCATGTCTTATGTAATAGAAATTTTTCTATTGCCGCAGTAAAGTAATGACAGCTTACCAGACCTTGAAGGCAAATGACTTCGATTCTGTCGGAAGAGATCAATACATTTTGAAAAGAAAAGGAAAGCTTCACTCCACCGAGCACAAAAATAGGTGATTCACACTTCTTGTAAATGGCCTATTTTTGTAAACCAGATTTTCATAGGAATAGAAAACATAACTATTGAAGAAATGGTCGAATATATGGAAAACAAAGCTATTTTTATGCTTGACTAAGGTCTTAAAGCATTTCTATTTCATAACTACGCATTACTACGGAGAAAGACTTTAAAGATTGAAGTTTCTTATCTTTCTTCGCTTTTTTGACGGTCACTATAAATCTGTTGAAATATGAGAGGATCCAAAATTGATAAATTGATCAGCAACATCA